ATTCTTTTACCAGTCCTTCGTCACCTTAAACGTAATTGGGTGAATACATCTCAGTAAATATTAGTTACAGTTTAATGGATTAATACAATTCTAATGCTTAGCTTTCTAATTAGACAGAATCTGAAAGCTTTGCTAAATTTAAACAAAATTTAACTATCTTTAATTGTGCTAGTCAGCACATTTTTAAAGCGGAATTTCGGCTGGATAATTTCGTATTTTGGACTGGCTTAGTAGCAAAGAGTCAGAATTAATTAACCTAAAATGGATCGGGTTCCTCTCAAGATTTTCTCTTGAGGTAACTATGCCAGCAAAAGTTTTTTTTGCTTTGTAATCGCTTTCATTATAGTCGACATTTCTATATATTACCTAGCTATAAGTAAAATAAATACTCACCTATAGTCAAGTTAAATTTCAAATAACATCTTGCTGGCAATTTCGCTGCATTAAATCTACTGACTTTTATTTAATTGGTTATTTAACTTATGTTTGGGGACAAAAAATTGCTATATTTACCTAAAGTTATTTTGCTTCAATCTTTTCTAAGGCTAGTGTAATGAATAGTATATCGAATATTTGAGACTTATGAGAGAGAAAGAGACTTCTCGTCTGAGATACTTCTCGTAGGTATAGATTGTAGGTATCATCTCATCTCATGGCAACTAATATTCCTATATTCCTTCTTGATGGCCAACCAGTTGAGTTTTAAAGAAGACTCGCTCTTGAAAATGCAAGTATTTTTAAAGTTAAATATGTCGTTAAATTAGTGGTAAAAACTTGATCCTTCTGTTCAATTCATTGAAATGAAATATCACCGATCCTTACTAATCGCGTTTACTAGACAATGAGATAAAATACTGGAGTGATCTTTTAACTTTAAACACTTTTATGCTTTGTTTCTTCGTAGCCTCGAAGTTAATTTGTTTTATATCTAATTTAATTCCTAGCATATTTGCACTATTTTACCTTTTCAACAGGTCCTAATTCACAGGGTGATGACTTGAATCGGATAAAGGGTCTTCGTAGGCGTCGCCGGCAGACCAGCGCACAGAAGCACAAAAGGTCCACACATGCATGCTCCAATTCAGGCAAACCAGCTCTTGTCAATCCAACTACTCGTGGCCTTCGTCGCCGCCCAATTACCGGTAAAGGTGTGGCTGAGGCAGTATCGACTCATTCTGTTCCAAATACCATCTACGGCGGGACAAACGTTGCCATCGGTCACAGAACTCGTAACCGTAGTGGATATTGCAACCAAAAGGCTGCATCAAACATTGCCGCCAGCCAGGTCGATACAGTTATGAGTTGTTTTGATCGTCCTACTGCTGGTTCTGTCGACTCAGAACGGCCAGACCAAAGTATGCCTCTGACGTTGTCGTTGTCAAAAGTCTCCTCGGCTCAACCGTCAATGACACGAGTCTTCGACGGTTTGCAGATTGACGAGACAGCGACTAATGATGCTGTTCCACTTCCGCCTGACCATACCTTTCTACTCACCAACTCGATTCTCGAAAGTACTATGTTAACTGAATGCGGACAATTGAATGCCAAAAAAGCTGTACCATTTGTCCGACCTGAAAAGGCATCAGCTGTTCAATTCACCGATGTACTCACAACTCCTTCGTCCAAACTCCCCATCGAGTTCTCACTAGACTCGTCTGATGGTGTCAATTGTGAAAAGCCCTCTCTACCTCAAATGAATAGCTCACAGTCCAAGTAAGTACTAATCCGTTCATATTTTGTGCTTTTCATGAAGCTCTGTCCAAAGATATTACAGTACATTTTAGTATATGTCAGTGAAGATCAATCAGCCGGACGGAAGCTGAAGCGGTGCTTATTCGAGCTACCACCTGATCTGCCTCATATGCTAACAGATCGTTGTGTGAAAGTGCCAATTCACACTAAATCCAACCGTTTGTTTATATTCCACTGCAATGTAGGCGTTTATCTTGTATGGTAATAAGTCTCCTTTCTCTCACAATGAATGTTGCCTGCACATAAGTTCCAGAAAGTGAATGATATTTCATAGAGTTTTTATTTGTATCGTCATCCTCCATGCGCATTTAACTCTGTTGTTTTTGTTAGGCTCGCAAAAAGCAAGATGACTGCCAATTTAAAGTGCAGCTCTGATGAGTCGATTTAAACTTTTAAAAATGCTGAAAATTTAAAACGGACTACTGTCCCGTGTAAATTGAGTCTCAAATGCATTTATATTGTCTAAAGATGTTCGTGAAGAAGTTCCATCTGTCTAAGTAAAGGTGGAGTATAAGGTTGTTTGGCTACAATTTTTATCTCATTGACAAATAGGTTGATAAATATCTGTTATCGGAATCCGATCGATCGTTAGATTTTTCACATGTTTGCTTAGCTAAACTTCAATTTTGGCATATTTCTCTTTGCCTAACTTTATCAATATTTAAGTATCCCTGATTCACGTGACACCCTCATAATAGACAATCACTTTTAATATAATAATAATATAATAATCTAGTCTATTAAAAATAAGTAGGGATAAAGTGAATACAACAGGTAGAAAATTTTGTGGTTTAAATATGCTTCCGATGGTTTTGATCTTCGAGGGTCAACTTACTAGCCTTCTTGTTGGGATATTTGATAACCCTTTATGCTATCCTCCATCATTTTGTGCAAACATGTTAAGCATTAGCAAGCCACAAAATCTGTATCCTAAACTTTTTTTACAAATATACCAGCTTGAATTGTGAATATTTGCCTAAAACAATTTGATTTTGAATTTAACAATTTATTGGTTAATTCAAGACTCCTAAAGGTAGGCGACAAATCTTTACGATAATTTTATTAATTTTAGGTTTAATAAGGTAAAACATGTATGATAACTGAATTTTGTGACTATGATTTGAGTGGGTTTCACGATTCCAATTCATTTCACTTGGCCTTGGTTTCTAATAAGTATTCTGGACTGGACTAAAGCTTCGAAATCGCCTCGGTCTCATTAGTACTCCCAAGAGAACTGGAATACCGGTGGTGCAGCGCATAGTTTCGAAATACTACCACTACGCCACATTGCAACGGCGGCA